CATTAGTGAGAGGAGGAGAAGAAAGCTCCTTGTTTTGTTGACCTTGGATGTCGTAATCGTCAGTCGAACCATTTATCTCCAGTTGGTTTTGTCAGTTTCTCTTTTCATTGGTTGATCTGCTGTTTCTGCGCAGACCTGCTTCCCCAGATGTTACACACCCAACTCATTATCTTGTTCCTCTTTGTGTCACTGTCACTTCAGTTTTTTATATAACAAACTTTAGTCCTTTCAGTCCCTGCTCACAGAGCCCTCAGACAGAAGACCACTGCAGCCAACACAGCAGAGTAAAGACCCACAGCTGTAAGAAAGTTTTAACGTTCGTACCACTGTTATTCTGTCATTACATTCTGAGTAATTTTGTAAGGTTAACTTAAATCAAGAGACATCTGGATGATGTACAGAAAAATCTGGTCTTGTGAAACTTTGGAAAAAATAAACAAATAGAATTATTAATATTATGATTACTCATTATATTAGACATTACATTGTTAAAGTACAGTAGAGTTGTGGTCACAGTATTTGCCTTTTCTTTGCTAATATTTTATGTTTGTGCAAATATATCTTGTTAAGTTAAAACCTACAATTAACCCGATTCTGAGCTTTTTGTTTTGGGGGATAAAAGCTGGCTGTTATAATAATTAGAGCGATTTAGAGCAATGCAGGCAACCTCTGCGCAAGACCAGCAAGAACGCATTGTCTCAAACCGTCAGCAGTGTTTTGTGTGCTCGTGACTGACGACCCAGGGTTAGGGTTGTAATTTAGGATTTATTTACGCACTTTTAAAAACATTTATTGAAAGTTTTATTCTTTTTACATGTTCATTTACAGCATTTAACGTGGAAATGTATATTGTAATGGGCTGTATATTAACATTTTGGGAGAAACTGGTAGTTATATCAAACGCTCATCATCAAATCAGTAAACTAAACAATCGAATCAGGCTCCGCCCTTCAAAGCATCAAATCTTTGACTATTTGGGGGTCAGCCCAAATATATCTACTGGCGATTTGCATTATTCACTGCTCACTGTATATTGTGTTGTAAACAAAATTTTGTTCAGCTATATACCTACGAAGAATGAAGTTTGACTTTACTTAACTTTGATTTTGACAACATGTTCAACCTTTTTACATATAGTGAATTATGCAACAAACTTATGCTTAGATGTTTCTGGGGATAAGACTATTGAACAGAGACTGGTATAATACAGTGATCAGCATGACATAAGCAATTGGTCATGTAGGAAACAGCAGACAATTGTACATAATCATTTGTGTCAAAGCATTTGTAATTTATTCTAAAGAATGAGAAATTGCTTTTTATGATGTGCACGGGTGACGAGATGATGTGGAGGTTGAACAAGTGGTTTTGAGAATTTCAATTCTGATCTGAGACATGTGCCAAAGCGCCTAAGAAAAACTTAGGATTCACCCATAGCTACACAGGAGACAGTGCTAATGGAGCGAAAATGAATACAATCTTATTTAGATATTCAGCATGCATAAAGTAAGTTACTATTTGTACATTTTTGGGTGATAGTTGCATCTTTCAATTTATTTTGATAACATGTTTTTTTCTGTAGAACGAGGTTGTCTTGGTGAAAAGATGGCAGCATGCATTGTCATCTCCCACAATGTCAGCCTTGATATTACCAGCAGATGGCAGTAAAATTAAATAAATCAAACCCTGCATATACAGTCAATTCAGTGTAAGAGAATGTTACCAGTGTGGAAAATAATCAGCATCATTTTAATGACTGTTGTTTTGCACAGTATGACACAAAACACATCTCATTTAATTAAAACTTTTCCTTTTACTATACTAAGCTGATGGGTCATTGGTTGTGCAGATATTTCGTCATAAAGGATTGGAGAAATAAACATTTGATCTGTTGATGACACCAAATGAAAACCAAAGTTATTACAATTCATCCTGAGGGGGACATACAGTAAATGTCTGAACAAAATTTCATGGCAATCCATCCAAGAGTTGAGATATTTAACTCAAAACCACAAAGGTCAGCCTCACCATGGCTCACATCAAACATAATTCTTCAAACATTTATTGTTACTCATCGTCCGAAAGAAAAAACAATACCAATAATAAGATAATAATCAGCTGTAATATGGTTGTAAACAACCCCATCAGAAATGAATGACCTGAAATCATACATGTAGTAAATGTCATGCAGGCTGGGCCCCTTTGGAGGCTGGGCGGGGTTGCCGCTGGCTCTGGGGTGCTGCCGGTGCTCAAAGGGCTCTTGCTACAAGCCCTGGGGTGGAGGGACCTGGCGTCCTTTTGCTTGGGGGGATGGGGGACGGGGCTGAATGATGGGGCCAGTCAGGAATCTGGACCAGTGGGGAGGACCATTCTGGCCTCCCTATTACCTCCTTCACCTTCCCCCCTTTGTTCATGTCTCACTACATACACCCTTGGGAATCTGGGGGGGCGGGCAGGTTGCTAGGTGTTTGGTGGGTGGGGCTGCTTTATTGCGGCCTCGTCCTTCTTCCTCCCCCACTGGCTGCCCCTCAATTTTAATTACACCTTAGACACCGGAGGGGAAGGGGCACATTGGGAGGCTCCACTACCTGACAGTTATGAGGTGCCTGTGTCACAGCTACCCTCCAATTTTAACTGCACCTTAGTTACCACGCACCTTATCCTTACTCCACCATACAACACTTCACAATCCATGACATGCATCCAACACAATACAACACATTTACAGAGGCAGGCAGGGGGGGTTGAAGGAGCGTTGGGGGTGTCATTGGCTTTGTGTCCTGTCCCTGGAGCCTCGGGGCGTCGGGGGTGCCGTGGGGTTGGTGTCTGCCTCGTCTGACTTGGGGTGGGTCATGGCGTGGTTATCTCTGGGGCGGGTGGTGTGTCCCTGGGCCTGGGGGCCCGTGGTCCCCTCTCCTCGCTGGGGCCCTCTTCAGCAGGGCTGGGGCTCCCGCTGCTTCCCCCTGCCACCGCTCTCTCAGTGGGGGCATTCGGTAATCCCTGGGGCACATGGCCGGTGTTGTCTGGGTGGGTTTTGGACCTCTTCCTTGGGGGGGGTTGATTGGGGGGGCCGCTGGCTCTGCCTGCACTCTGGGGGGGGGATGCCCCTGGCTGGGCTGGTGGACTGTCGGCCCTGGTTCTCCCGCGTTATCACTCCCTGGCAGCGGGGAGCTCCCCGGCACAGCTCTCTGCTGTTCGCCCTTGGGGCGGGTGCAGCTTTCCCCAGGACATGTGGTCTGTGGTCCTTTGCGCTTTGGGAAGTCGCGGGGAGCCCTGGCTACTGGGGGTGTGGGTCCTTGGGCTAATTGCGGTTTGGAGGGGCGATTGTCGATGCATATTGATGCATTGGTTTTTTTCTGTGCAGGGTCTCTTGTGGGCTGCTGGGCATTAGTTTGTGCATTGGAGTCCGGGGGGAGGCATTTCCTGGTTAGCTTGGGGGACTAGTTTGCGTCCCTGGCTTGCCTCATTGACCTCAGATCCGTGCTCCCCTGTTTCTCTGTCGGGCGGTTGTCAGACTCCTCTGGAGAGGGGGCCACAGCCACCCTAAGAAATGGGTGGCCACCCCAGTGGCCTCTCCTCGCAAGGAGCAAATGCAAAAATGCTATTTACTGTTTATATTATGTAACCCCTGTGATGTTTATTTTAGGAGAGGAATCTGATTCGTCAATGTAGATGGCAATCACGTTTCTAAAATTGTGACTGGTTAAGGGACAGGACTAACAGGCAGAGCAGAGCACAGAGTGCACTGGTGTTGTGCCGAATGTGTTTGTTTTCTGTGGAGGTAGCAACAAGCAAGAAAGAAAAGTCTAATTTAATTAATGTACAGAGACAGTTTGTAGCCTGGCTAGTTTATAATACTTTTGTCACACTGTTACACAGTTTGGTGTATTGTACTGTGTGTGAGAGCTAATAGTCTGCAGATAGCAACAGGTTAGCACCACCGCTAACAGAAAGTTAACGTCGTAGGAACACTGGAGCCCCTGACAGCGCCGCGTGTGACCGGCTGTTAACGTTATGCTTCAAGGGAGACTGTCCTGTGCCTGTTTTCATCTTCATCTTTCTGAGCGGATTGTAAAACATGAGAACAGCTGGGAATGGGATATATATTGGCCAACATTCTTTCCGTTTTGATTGCAGGATCTCTGTGGAAAGTGGCTATAGAAAGCCTCTGGATCCCTAAAATGTTGTCTGTGCGCGTCGTTGACTTCATTGGTGGTGAGCTCACTACTCTTTGCTTTTGGCCCTGTAGGCTCATTTGTTCTGAGCTTGGTTGTGTCAGCTTAAAGATTGCATTCTCAATCTAGGTTTGTGACGGTGGTACTGTAACTTGTGTCACTGCACTCCTCTCTCTCTCTCTCTCGCTGTCTGTGTTTTGTGGAGCCATGCTGTTTGTTGATGTTAAAAAACACAGAAGCAAGAGAGAGTTTTGTAATTTTACAGGTATTTATGTTTTAAAATGGTTGGTGCCCCCCCCCCACCATTTTTACATATAAATATGACATTGGTTAAATCTGTTGTTAAAAAGTGGAATATTATATAAGAATAACTATCTTAGTTGTTTTTAACAAGAATAACACCAAACTTAGTAGATTAACAAATAATTACACAACTCTATAGAGACAGAAAATATATATGCTTCCTCCTGTTCCTGAGACTGCTGATCTTTGCTCAGTGCTGCTGTAGCTTGTTGACTGTTGTGTAGAGAGGATCCTCTGAAGAGCTGGACGGCTGGTTGACAGTAGAGTAGGTTGCACTTTGCTTCACAGTAGAATATTCGCCGGCAGCAGAGTTGGGTTTGAGGATCAGTACCTCACCACCAACTCTGTCACAGCTGCTTTGGAAGTTGACGGTAGAGTAATGCAGCGAGGCAGAGGGGTTTGTGGGAAAGTTGGCAGTGGCATAAATCGTGTTCATCTTATTTCCTGAGTCTGGCCTCTGGACGGGCTGCTGTATCTCCTCGTAGACATAATCCTACCAGGGAAAAGTGAAAAATACAGTCTGAACACATTATTTTGAATCCTAACAATAAACTCTCCCCATTCAAAATGAGCTCAACATTGTTGGTTAAATTACAAACAGGTTAATAGTAGGAAGGATTAAATCCAGGACCTCTAATTTTACTGTGGTGTCATTTGGTTTTACAAACTAGTTCAAACATCAGCACAGGTTCGTACAAAGCCAACTGATTTTATTAAAAAAAACAAAAAAAAACAAAGACAAATTAGCTGTGTTAGTTGTCCCAGTACCACACCAGCTTCTGATAAATTGTAATGTGGTTTCACGGTTTAACAAGTGAATCGTTGTGCACCTGAAAGCAAGGTTCTGTCACTGCATGAGTGAAAATGCTGCGTCACTATTGGCCAATATTTATTTACATTATTTTTTTCTTTAGCCAAGACTCCAAGACTTGAGATGGGTAATCCAGTTATTGCGCAATTTCTCTCAGCTATTTAAATTCCACCTATAAAGTACCACCACACACTGAGACATTCATTTATACACTGACCTCTCTGATGTTCTGTGCTGCTGCTCCTTTTCTTGTGTTCATTAAATGTGAAAATCCTGGCAGAAAGAAAAGGAAGAGAACAAAAAAGAAATCAACAAATGGAAGGACAGAAAAGTGGATTCATTTCACCACTTTTCATCAAACTCTACACAGTCTCTTAATCTACCTAATCTACCTGTATTGTCCAGGTAGGTTACACTCTGGACATTGTGTGGTTTCACCGAATAGGACTGTTTATCATCAGAAATGAGTAAAGATGAAAGAAAAAAACATCAACTTCCAATCACAAAAAAAAAAATGCCATGTCAAGTCACTCCTAACGTCTTCTTTGGACTTTTTATTCATCACCCTGTAGTGAACAGCTAGTGTGGATTTGATCATTTTATATCAAATAAATTTGGAGATGCCAAATTCCTTTTTGTCTCTCCCTGAGAGAAAGAGGAGGGGGGCTGAGATATCAACCCTGAACAGACAGCCTGACCTTAAGTGTTCAATTCCTTTGTGTAGACAAATAAATACTGTCTCCTTATAACTTGCCTATTACCTGCTGAGTTAAATAATCTTTGCTAAGTTAGTAGTGGCGCTTGCCTCTTATATTCTAGTAGTAATTACTATGTCGTTATTCTCTAAGTACTATGTCTGAAAGCTAAAAGAACCACAAGGAAGTAAATTTTCAGTGCTCTTAATCCATTCCTCTGATGCTCCTTTCATTCCTGACTGTCTGTTTGATGTTTATACTAATGCTTTATTCCCAACACTTTCTGAACCTTTCTTTAGAAATGATATGATACAGAAATGTTATCCTGTGCTACTTGATTAATTTTCCAGCTCGAATTTAATGTTAAATAACTAATTTCCCCAGCTCCTGAGCAAATGATTGTTTTAAAGAAATAATCTTCAGTCTCCTCATGGAACCAGAGTTCCCCCAAGAGGACAAACTAAGTATTACATGCTATCGTTCTGAAATGCAGCTTCTGCTGTGTAACTCTGTACTTATTTGTTCGTAATCTGATGCCATGTTTGTGTAACTTGCTTGTATTCTCTAAGTAAGAATGTGAAACAAACAATATTATCCAGGAAATATTGAGTGAAGTCTCTTTCATTCTGAAATCCTGAAAATGTGTTTAACTGGTAACCATTCTAATATTAATAAGATAACTATGACCTGGATGACTGAGACGTAAGAAGTAACTTTCCTTCCTTTTTATCGAATGCTTAAAACTAAGAGCGGTGTAACTGTTTGACGTTTAAGGTTTGATTGTGGGAAGATATTTGATTAAAATACGCACAAATAGACATAAAGTTAAGGGACAGCCTCTCTCAGGGGAACAAAGCCCTCCTCCTGAGACACGCCCTAGACAAAAAAACACGCTGACACGCGTGCTTTATGTTTTCTTTGTTTGTTCAAATTTATCAGACTTCACCTTAACCCATCACTCTCATTGTTTGCATCATGTTTGTTTAGCCATTGATTGTTTCTTTGATGTATATTTAACCGCATTTATATCCACCTTTTAGTTAGTTAATAAATTTCACCGTAATCTCAGGAACTGTGTGTGTGTATTGTTTAGCTCCAGGTCACTGTAACGGAGGATTTACGTCTTTGATATGAGATTGACTGCAATTACAACTAACTGATCACTAGGAATAATTGTAATTGTAATTATTAAACCCCTAACGTTACCTAGGGAGTCTGGAGACCCTGGGCGAACTGAATTTCCGGTGGTGCCCTAACCAGGATTTATGAATTAATATTTCTGAAATATTAATATTCATCATTTGTATTAAAAATTATAGGTAGATAGGCTACAACCCCTACACAGGATGTACCTGTTGAGAATGTGTTTTCTGTGTACAATATGTGCGTGTATCTTCTGCAAACTGATAATAGCTCTTACGTTTGTAGATAAGGATCAACATTAGCACAAACAACAGCAGCAGCACAGCTACACAGACGATCATAGTAATGACGACCTGAGAGTCACCTGCAAGATAAAGCATAATGTATTTGCTTTTTAAACACAGTCAACATGGAAAGTTATCATCCAGATCTATCTGTGTTGAGGAATTTAAGAAGACATTTACAGAAAATTAATTTTAAAAAAGTTTCTCTTCTGCTGCAGAAGGTTTAAAATATCAAGTGCTCTCTTACCACGACTCTCAGCAGACACAGTAGTTGGCTGGGTTGAAGAAACAGGAGATGTGGATGATGTTGTTGATTCTGTTAATGATACTGACAAAAACAAAAGAAAATAGACAAATAGACAAAAAAAATCTTAGACCAGACTTGGAGGTCAGATTCCACACAACAATCTTAATTTTCTTTTATCTTTGGTTTGTTATTGATCCACCTCTAGCACAAAAATTTGGCCTCCAGTTTCATTTTCTGACTCTTGGAAAATAAATAACGAATACATCAAAAAAATAAGTTTAGTGAATGTGTGCCAATACCACTTTACTGAACATAAACATTTTAACACGTAACAATAGGAAAAGCACAGGTGAAATAATTAAATGAATGAGTTCATTTAGCTGCTTTGGTTTCAGGGTCCTGGTGTTGTTCACTGTCATGACTTTCGCTTGCCGTCGTTAATTTCATTTACACTTGTGCTTTTCTTCTGTGACAAGTTAAAGCCTTTGCTGTGAATGCGGTCTATTGTATAACAGCCCTTTACTTGTTTAAAAATTACTCAACATTGGTCATCATCACCCAAAGCTGTGTTGAGGAATTTAAGTGGACATTTTAGAAGATTTTTAAACATTTCTCCTCTCATCTCTTGCTCTTCTGCAGCAGAAGGTTTAAGATATCAAGTGTGCTCTCCTACCACGACTCTCAGCAGACACAGTAGTTGGCTGGGTTGAAGAAACAGGAGATGTGGATGATGTCTGTGATACTGCTGGTGATACTGATAAAATTAATCTAGAATACATGAAAGTTTAACTTTTTGACTTAAAATACAGGAAAAAAAACTTTTTCATGCTGACTCACTTTTATGACTTACTGGGACACTTGAAAAGAATGGAGCCATCATTAATGTTATTAACACCAGTGCTCTCCCTGCTGTGACAGTTCAAAACATCTGCTATTAATGTGTAACAACATTTGAAATAAACAGTTTGACATTGTGGGAAATGGTCTTATTGGCTTTCTGACAGAATTCACTTCATGGCAAAAATGGATCACAATTACAGTGAACAGTAACACTGTCAACGTACATCCAGCAACATAGGTATTGTTTTAAGACTTAAAAAATGACAAACCTACCCTTAAAGGCTGAATTATAAAACATGCATAGTGAAACACTCAACAACTAATTGTGGTGATAAAAGTGATCAGTTGTTGAGGGTTTTCGTTGTTGCTGATACAGTTCTGATGTCACATAACTGCAGCTGCTGCTCTGAACATGTGCAGGAAGTGAAAACAGGAGCATAAATAGAATCAGTAACCGGATATCACAGCTGACAAAATTATTCTTGTGATGCATTCTGTTTTGTAATGATGCTCTTGTTTTGACTTGTATAATTAATCCAGTGTTATGTGGCCTATATGTTCAGCGCGGGCCAAGATGATGGGCAGAGAGCTTTTGGTCAATAAGAAAGGTAAAATTAAGCTGTTACACGGTCATTACACACTGTAGCAGTCCCAAAAACTTGTGCAAAGAACTTAGTGAGAACTTAATCATATGACGGTATGTTCAGACCAGACAGTGTGTCACTGGTCACCAAGCAGTTCAATACTGAGAAAACTCTGATGTATCAGAGAAAACAGAAGACAGGACACGGTGAAGCCCATGAAGTCACTGAACATATTACGTTTACTTTTTTGTTTTTCAGATGAGTTGTATTTAAACTTCAAGGAAATCCACTGTTTAATTTTGTTTAAAAAGTAGAAAAGACTAATTGTGTTGATTGTGATCTCAATATTGACCAAAATAATCATCATAGTGATATTTAATATTTAATAGAACAGGTCTAATAGGATGCTCTTGCCTGGATTGTTAAAATTTTACTCAGTTTTTAACTGAAACCATGAAGACATGTTTCATGTTACAGTGAGTGAAATGTCTGTCTGATCTCAGGAAAAGCACAGGTGTTACATTAACGACTGCCTCATTCTCTTAGTGCCCCAGTAAGTCATGACAGTGAGCCAGCATGAACAATATCAGGACCCTGAAACTGAAGCAGCTAAATGAAATTCAACCATCGTTGTTTTTATTATTTACATTGATGTTTTCGCTGAAAAAAAGACTATTGCTGCGAAGTACGTCCTGCACGTTACCACAGGGAAAACCAACTCTGATTCTTTCACTGCTTCTTTTGCTTTACACCTCACCATGATGAATCGTTGTGTTGGAGATCCATTGATGAATGCTTTATTTATTTGTCATGATGCATGCATAATGCATAAATAAACATCCTCAGAGTTGACCGAACAGGTAGTCAGCTCAGAGTTCAGGGTTTGTTAAACCTGCTTTCTGGATCAATACCCTGAAACTCTACAGACCGAAAACACAATATTTATTCAAAATAACTTTATAAGATGAAATAAAAGTCCAGCATTAATCAATAATTACTATAGCTTTTTTTATGCTTGTCATCCATCAGTAATCCTCCTACAATCTGAACCAGGTTCAGATTACATCCACACAATAAAATAACATCACTCACCTACAATCATCACCATTTTGTGGAAGAATTTGTTGCTGCGTGTTTTGTCAGTGCTTTCTGCTCCACACCAGTATGTCCCAGTGTCATTCATTGTTACTTCTCTCACTGTTACGGTGATATTTCTCTTGTTTTTGTCCTCCATGGAAAACTTCCCAGTGTTCTTGTTGGGCTGTGCGGTGCTTACTAGAGGTCGACATATAGATGGATCTTCTCCCTTACAGATGAATATGTTTGTCGGAGCATGATTTTGATTTAGACAATAGTATGTGAGATTCTGTCCTACAGTTGGAGACTTTGTGAATCTGGTAATAGTAGCTGTAGAAAGACAGACAAGCAGCACTTCAGTGATTGTATTTAACAACAATTTTCAGAGACACCTTAGTCATCTGGAGTAAATCAAAGCTAAACAGTGTCAGATGTGTGCTGCTCACCTTTAACCTCCAGCTGTATCTTTCTGAGAGCAGTTCTGTAACTTCCTTCATGTGTTTCCACTCCACACCAGTAGACACCAGCATCATGTGAGGACACGTTACTGATGGACATGCTGAAGCCACTGTTGGTTTCTGTGAGAGTGAATGTCCCGTTTGACTTCAGAGAGGATTTTGTTGATAAAATATCCTCACAGATTGAACCGTTCTGTTTGCAGAAGAACTTGAAGTATTTGTTTCCTGTGTAATCACATGTGATGGTGGTTTTAGCTGTTCTGTACGCAGTTTGATTAAATTGTCTCTGGCAGCCGTCTGTCTCTGCAAATAAACAAGAAAGTTAAAATGTGAAATCTAACACTGACACTGTGCTAACACGTGATGGAAGTGCATGTCCTGCAACATCACCACAATCACACGCAATTTGATCTCCATTCTTGGTTATCTAAGTAGATGATGACTTAAAATAGAAAGTGACTTTAGTGAATGTGGAACTGGAGTCAAAATACTATGGAAATTTGGAATAATGACACCAAACTTATGAAAGCTGAATTGAATCTGTTATTAAGAATGTATTGATTGATATGCGCATCTATACACAACAAAAAACAAGCAGATAATATGTTTCTAAAATCTCATTAGATTTATATGGGTTCCTTATAATTTATATATATTTAAATTATGTTATGTGAAAACACTGGGTCCAATGAATGGACTTGAATGTCTCTTACCAAAGGCTAATTCCACTTCCCCTGTGTCATGTCGTTGGTAAACTTTACACTTGTACTTCCCAAAGTCCTCCTGTTGAAGTTCATTAATAACCACCCTGAGATATTTTTTTTTTGGATCATAATAGAGGAAAACTCTGCCTTTTTTTGCCCACACATCCTTTTGAGTGCTTCGTATGGTTTCTTTGGGAGTAACTACATCAATACTTTGATGTTTTCCATTTGGTTTTGGATATTTCCAGGTGAATTCAACCCATCCTTGTGGGCATCCCCTCACTACAGTCCGGGCCTCACAACCTGTAGATCAAAGGCAAAGGTCCTCATTATGTCAGACACTGAAACGATTAATTAGCTCTCTATCAATGCCTATCGTCACTGTCATGGTAAAGTTTGAATCATCTTACATCTGATTTTACTGAAATTTTTATCTTCCGTGCAGATTAATTTCCATTTTGGTTATTTGAATAATGACACCAAACTTAACATGTATGAAAGCTTTATGTATTAAATCTTTTACCAACAATGTTTTGATTGATATGTGCCTCTACACATAAAAAACTCAAAGAATAAGTTTTGAAATCCCATTTGATTCATTAGATTTGCATTGCGTTCTTATAATTTATATATACTAGTGCAGTACCAGTTCATAGGGGCCGATGTGTCGCCTCCCTGCACTTTTTTGGTTTCACAATCAGTGGTCAGCAATAGGCCGCCTGCAGGCCAAATTTAATAAATAAATAAATTTCACTTTCATAGCGGCTGATGCTGAAACAGTTACTCATACAATCACTTCCTCTTAAATGGGCACTTATTAATAAATAAATTAATTTTCATTGCCTCATTGTCAGTGGGCTCAAAACTCACTTAAAGATGCACATGCCTGTTGCCTCTGTTGCTTGCATCAGCCACTATTCTGCTTTTAATGTGAGGACACCGGGTCGGCTTACCACATTAGTTCACTACTACACAACTAACGCGGCCGATATTACTGTCCTTTGAACCACCGCCATTATGTCAAAGTGTTGATTTAGCCTGCAAGAAATGATGCAACAGAGAAAAGCAAATCTTTTGTAGCCTATAGTGAGACAGACGGGGCAGCCAGCCACACTACGTTACATTAGCTCGGACATATAGGAAGACTATCCTGCCATTTATCAAAACTGAAAATAAAATTCAAAAACAACATAATGTTTGCAGAGATTTTATTTTTTAAAAACATTTAGCAAGCCTGCAAATCTTACTTTTCAATTCATTTTTTTGGTAAGATTTTGAGTTTTCAAACACTTAATTTCAGCCTTTCAGAACTTTATTTTAAATTTTGATACATGGCAGGATATTCTTCCAATGCGGACCTGCCTCTGTTTGCTTCATAAGGTTCAATTTAGATTTATTGTGGTTTCACCTATACCCGGGTACACAGCTTCTCCACCTCTCAGTAGCTGTAACTAACATGACCCCCATAATATACAAAACTGCAACAAAACTGCGACAGCAACACAGTGGAAGACCCATGCACTAACACTACAGTAAAGCTACTTACTGCAGTCTAACTGTCATAAAGTGTGACACAATCTCGTTATAATATTTTGTCCAGCTCATTAACCGTTTCATTATCATCCAATACATTTAGCTGTGCTGACATTGCTGAGCCTCCGGTGATAGTAAGTACACAAATAGTAAATATAGTTACTGAAAAGCAGCAGGCAAGCTAATAATGTAGCATGTCGGTTAAACGCAGTAAATGTAACATTATCATGCAACGAGCATGGATTAGTTGAACTGATAAAAATATTACTGGAACAGGGTGTTGGGAGTTTATCTGAGTTCCCAGCATGTTGTGATGTCTCCCTGTCTCTCTATAGCCATTCTCACATTGCGCCACTGTATGAAAGGTAACTTACTGAGCTGGTGTTGAGCTGCCACTGAGCCGGGAACGTTGAAGTAACAGAGCCTGTCTGGAGAAAAGCCACAGCCTGCATGCTAGTGTTTCTGCATTCATTGCAGGATTTCTGTATAAAAGCGGTTGTGTTTTGGATTATGCTCGCTCAATGAGAGCACGCGTACGAGCACACACCTGGTTACAATCTTATAACCACACCACTAGTGGCTGCTGAAAACTTCATAATGCCCCTTTAAGTGACTGTGCCTGTAAAATAAAAGTGCAAGAAAGTTTTTTGCAGCAATGCTTTATTTCAAGATAAATTGACGGCTTTTACTTTGAAACGTTCTGAAAGACATTAAAAACAGTTTATGGCGTGCTTAACACACCTCTGAAGTAGTCATCAGGAAACGTGTGATTGTATCCCCCTGATTAAGAAGTGCAGGCACTTTCTCTGCCTGGAGATGATGGGGAAATGAAAATAAGCTTCCAAGCTGGGACGTACACACTGCAGCACATGCTTCACTGTGAGTATGTTTGATGCAGCAGTTTCTTCATAGTTATATATGTTTGCGCAAGGAGGGACCGAACACACAACACTCGGACTGAAAATCCCAGACCGTTCTCATCTCAGGGCGTCCAACACCAACGATTTCAGAAAAAGTGACAAAACGTAGTAAGTTGACGCCAAAGGTACCTTTCAGCGTCTCTATGAGAGACGTATGAGGAAGTTAGCTACGTTCTTGTTAAAGGTGTTGACATCCCCCCGAAGCCCCCTACACTTAACATAACCATCAGAAATGTTAGTACCTAAACCTAAGTCAGTGACTGTATACATGACGACCGGCCGCAGCAGGGGCCACACCCCTCGGGGGCCCAGCAACCACAGGACGTTATAACAGGCTATCAGCTATTGAAATCAGCAGAGCTGCCAACTCAATGCAATTGACACTTTTCACACGCCACACATCAATTTTCTCAGGCATTGGAAAAACTAACGTAGCCTATAACTGATAGCGTCGACTCTGCGCGATTACACTGACCCAGCCGATGCGACACCGACGGACACTGTGACAGGAATCAAGCGAACACGGTCTCGCACACTGAGTGGCTGACAGTTTGTGATCGGGTAACGTAACTGGTCAAGTTTTGCAATATAAAAATGTATAATCTGAAGTACAGCCTTGCTCTGTTGGGAATGTGAGCTGCACAGAGCTGCGTGAGATAACGTGAGATCTGTGTTTTCAGTTAGTTTAGTTTTGCACAGGTCTCATCTATACAGTCCCAAACTGGTTCTGTGTTTGTCTGAGATTCATGAACAGCAGATTATAGGGCGGAGAGATTTTTAAAAAATAATTGTGAATTGTTATTAAATGATGACGTTATTCTCATAGAAATCTTTCTGGAGATGGCAGATTACACAGATATGTGGGATAGATGCATAAAGTTTTGAAGATTCAGTCCAGAAGTTTCAAACTGAATTAATTTATCCTTGAGGTGAAAAGGAGCCACATTTAAAGAGGAACTTCCCCAAATAAAGACACAACTAAGAGGGAAGACTAAATCATGAAAGAAAAAGAAATACAGAATGCTTGAAAGCCAGGCAAAGGCTGAATTATATTCTGGTATATTTTATATTTTAAATAGTTACCTGTTACCTGAGTTTTGTGATTCCTTTGCCATAGCCTAGATAAAAACATTTCCTCCATAAACTGATGCAGAAAAGGCAAGAATTGGTGCAGAAATTTTCACCAGAATGCAGAAAATTAAGTGTTTGATGCTAAAAACCACAGCTCCAACAGTGGTCAGATGATGCAGCTACGCAACAGGTCATATGTAATTAACTTTAAAATGATGGCTCCGAGGAAAGGACATCTCATTTCATTAAATGCCTGTTTCCTGGACTCCTTTCTCCTCGCGTCTCCTCCTCAACTCCTCGAGCTCACATCTCGGGTGGGAGGGACTAAGATGCGCCGCAAGCAGTTAAGGATCGAGGAGGTAAGGAGGCAGAAATTCTGGAAATGAGAAAGGCCCTGCAGGGCTAAAGGCGCATTTATACTTGTGCGTAGGTCTGTCCGTCATTCTGCAATTACACCCCCAAACACTAGTCGGCAGCAGCGCTACAGCATCCACTGTGTTGACATTAGCCAGCCGAGCAGGCTAACGTCCGGTTTAGCGCTCCGCTAACGTAAATGGGGGAAAAATTGTAAACGTGCGGCTCGTGTAGCCTTTTCAAATGTTACCGACCGAATGGATCACATTCTGATAGTGAAATGAGTCATGTCGCTCGGGTTGCAACTGTCAAATATATTGATTCACTGTGTTACAGCTGCCGTTTTGGCCGCTAGTAAATGTTACTTAAAAGCGTGGGGTACTTCCGGTCGGCTCGAAGGCATCGCGAGGCTACCCAGCTGACCAATCACAGAGCTTACGGTCCGTGTCGACTCGACGAGTAGTTACATTTTTGAGGAGGTGCACGTCAGGCGACGGCGATTTGACGCAGAAGTATAAATTGCACTTAAGACGCAAGGAAAAGATGCAGGTGAGAGAAACGTGGATGCAATTAAGAGACTTAACAAGCACCCTGTGCCCGTCAGACGCTGGGTGACACTGTGGGGAAAGGACCTGTTTCAGATACAACAGTAAAATCAGTCTGTACTTAAGTTTTAAGACTGTAGATGTCTGCATCTGTGAGGCCCTTTTCACTGAAACCTGCCGAATGACAGAGAAATCCCGGAATTGTTGAGTCGTTGAGGTATTTAAAAAATGTTGATTGTACCATTTGCATTATATTACTTTATTATTAACTTTTCTATTTTGGACTTTCGATTTGGACAATTACCTTCCTCATCCTTTTTGAAAGTGCATCCCTGGTGTCTGCGGAACAAGAGTATTCATACATTAAATGGTGTATTATGATGTCCTGGTTATTGTGATTTGGCTATTGCTCATACAGAGAAAAGGGAACGATTATGAGGTTGATGTGAAGTGATAATATTAAAACAGGTATTGTTTAATATAGTCATTCAATGTGGTTTATAAAATATCAGAAAATGGTAAAAAGAAATTTTGATTAACTTTTTTTTACCAAAGCACAATATGTCTTATTTTGTCCACAACCCACAGATATTCAGTTTTCAGTTGTATTCACATTTAAGAAGCTGGTGTCAGAACATTTTGACTTGTTTTCTTAAAAAAAGAATTAAACTGACTAATCAATTATTGATGATTTATTTTAGGTGACAACAATGAATCATTCAATCACTCATAATTTTGCCATAACATTTATATACAGAAAATAAACAGGGTGACAGCTGTGATCACTACATTACTTTCACTTCTGCTTGTGTTCTCTCCGCGTTTTAGAAACCAAACATGTACGTCTTATTCAACAGGAATGAATTAGAAGAGCATTATTTCCTGTACGCAAAGTTTTTTGCCAGATTTTTCAATAAAAGACTGGATGTTGTATCAAATTCAAAACATCAGCTCTGAAAGCTGCATATTCACAAGAAAACAACAACTACCTGTGCAGTTACCTTTTATTAACACACTATATGTTGCATCTTGGTGTTGGATGAATTAGAGAAGCAATCAATATGTTTAAATTAGTATTAAATTTAGAAGACAGTTATTTGACCCTGTTAGTTTTACTTTGTGAACCAGAACAACTTTTGTGACCTTTGTTAAAGTAAACAAGTACAACAATTGTAGCTGAATCCACACCACAGGATGTATTGAAAGTGGTTCATTTCTTAAGAGGCTGTAACAGTTTTCTATAAAATCTCTAATATCAGGAATCAGGCAGCAGAAATCTTTTTACCTGTCATTAGTGAGAAGAGGAGAAGAAGAAAGCTCCTCATTTTGTTGATCTTGGATGTTGAAATCTACTGAAAGAAAGGCTGAAAAACTATTTAACTCCAGTTGATTTTGTCGGTTCCTGTTTTCATTGGTTGGTTGATCTGCTGTTTTTGTACAGACCTGTTTCCTGACATGTTATCCACACAGCGTCTTCCTCTTTCTGTCACTCCAGTTTTTTTATATTAATATTAGCTTTGCCAGTAGATCTCCGGCTCAGTGTTTAAGTGAGTCTTGTTCATGAACAAATTTGGTCTATCTTGTACTTTTGGCTATGTCCCATTCTTCCTAATGGAAAATGAGGCATACATAGTTCACTAAATAGCTGCTTGTGTTATTCATTGGTTATTGTGGGGTTAGTGATCTACTGTATTTACCTTCTAGGTATTGACATTATGAATTCAAAAATATTGGTGACATGGTCTGATTTGAGTAAAACAAGTAAGAGTTACTGCGAGTAAATCAGAGTTTATTATGTTAGTGTTAGTCCATGGAATAATAAATCAGATATCCAAGGAGCATTAATCCAGACGAGACACCAGGGAAGAATGATCCATCCAAGAGTCGTTGAGATATTTCACTCTAAACCAGAAATTTCAACCTCATCGGGGCTTTGGAGGAAAAGTCAGGGGATCCTTAAAGTCATTAGCATTCATCATCTGGTATCAATTAATGTCCAAATTTTTATGACAGTTCATCCACTGATGAACTGACCAACCGACAGACCAACGTTGCCATCCGAGCAGTTGCTGGTGGACAATCTACGAAATGGTAAAAGTTAAAACATCAGGCATATTTCTTCAAACATTTCTTGTTAAATCAGTGGATAATAATCAGCTGTAATATGGATTTAAACAGTTTACAAGCTTCAGGAGCAAAGACAAACAAAAAGACTCATCTAGTCATTACAGATCCGTCCCAAAGTCTTAAACCTTGGTGACTCAAACAATGTGGATGAAGAGTGAATCCTGTACGTCACAGTTGAACATTCACAGGCAGCAGAGCCGGGTTTGACGATCAGTGCCTCACAACCAATGCTGTTGTGAAAGTAGACGGTAGAGTAATACAGCGAGGCAGAGGGGTTTGTGGGAAAGCTGGCACTCGCCTCATTTCCTGAGTCTGGCCTCTGGACATGCTGCTGTATCTCCTTATCCAATGGGCATTCTGGGGCCCAAGCAGGGCCCAAGGAGGGGAAGAAGAATGTTTTTTCCTTTCCTTTTTTATTGTTTACATTTCAGATATTGAAAACATGTATAACCAATAAAGAGCATGCTGATATTTTTTTTAATTTAAACTGAATTATATCATTGGTCAGTCCCCATTGTGCAAAGAACGTAACAACCCACCCTTACGTTAGTCATCAAATAACCGAAAGCTGATCAAGTGGACTGTGGGGATATTTGTCGTAGGCCTAGTTCAAACTGAGTGAGAGACGTCGTTGTAGTAAATGCAAACGAAACGGAGAAGAGGTGGCGGGAGGCTCTTTATTGATGTGCCATCTATATAAAAGGAGCCAGGAGGAGAATCAGAAGTTGTGGAAGTTGATGAGCAATTTAACCGCAGGAGACTGGTGTTAGCAGCGGAGCACAACCTGAGGCTATCTGTAGCAACCTCAGGCTGTAGCAGCAGTGCAGCTGAAGCAGCACACAGTGGATTTATCAGCTGTCTGACCCGGTGTTGTGGGGGGCAATCAACAAAGATGCTCGCGCCGACCATGGACCGGCTGCCTTTCATAACGGACATAACAGTAAGGTGTGCGAAGTTACCTCACTGATGATCTGCTGTGTTGTCAACTCCTAAATGTGTAAAAAGTTTACAGAGAGTGGATCCCCTATTCACCATGAACAGGTAATATTTTTGTGTTTTTTCTGTTATTATGTTAGCATTTGGTGCTCATCTGTCACTGGAGCAGGACTGTGAACCTAAAGGTGCAGCAGCTGAAGGGAGAGAAGCTGTGCTGGTGGGAAGAGCGGAAGGGTTGTGTCTTTCATAAAGTTTTTAAGTGAAAAAGGGCTGCCTTTACGTGACGACAATGAAGTAGCTTATACACTCACCTAAAGGATTATTAGGAACACCATACTAATACTGTGTTTGACCCCCTTTCGCCTTCAGAACTGCCTTAATTCTACGTGGCATTGATTCAACAAGGTGCTGAAAGCATTCTTTAGAAATGTTGGCCCATATTGATGGATAGCATCTTGCAGTTGATGGAGATTTGTGGGATGCACATCCAGGGCACGAAGCTCCCGTTCCACCACATCCCAAAGATGCTCTATTGGGTTGAGATCTGGTGACTGTGGGGGCCATTTTAGTACAGTGAACTCATTGTCATGTTCAAGAAACCAGTTTGAAATGATTGGAGCTTTGTGACATGGTGCATTATCCTGCTGGAAGTAGCCATCAGAGGATGGGTACATGGTGGCCATAAAGGGATGGACATGGTCAGAAACAATGCTCAGGTAGGCCGTGGCATTTAAACGATGCCCAATTGGCACTAAGGGGCCTAAAGTGTGCCAAGAAAACATCCCCCACACCATTACACCACCACCAGCAGCCTGCACAGTGGTAACAAGGCATGATGGATCCATGTTCTCATTCTGTTTACGCCAAATTCTGACTCTACCATCTGAATGTCTCAACAGAAATCGAGACTCATCAGACCAGGCAACATTTTTCCAGTCTTCAACTGTCCAATTTTGGTGAGCTCTTGCAAATTGTAGTCTCTTTTTCCTATTTGTAGTGGAAATGAGTGGTACCCGGTGGGGTCTTCTGCTGTTGTAGCCCATCCGCCTCAAGGTTGTGCGTGTTGTGGCTTCACAAATGCTTTGCTGCATACCTCGGTTGTAACGAGTGGTTATTTCAGTCAAAGTTGCTCTTGAATCTCAGCTTGAATCAGTCGGCCCATTCTCCTCTGACCTCTAGCATCAACAAGGCATTTTCGCCCACAGGACTGCCGCATACTGGATGTTTTTCCCTTTTCACACCATTCTTTGTAAACCCTAGAAATGGTTGAGCGTGAAAATCCCAGTAACTGAGCAGATTGTGAAATACTCCGTCTGGCACCAACAATCATGCCACGCTCAAAATTGCTTAAATCACCTTTCTTTCCCATTCTGACATTCAGTTTGGAGTTCAGTTTGTTTTGTGGTGGATTGGTGGCACCCTCTGGTGAAACTATTCAACACTCATATCATGACTGAAAGATCTGTCTCTCTGTTTCTTGTTCACTAGTCATTAATCGGCTGTTATGAATGCAGATTCCAATTTAAATGCAGTTAGCTTATATCTGCTGATAATATTGCCCTGCTGATAAATCGGTCCTGTATAAACTAGAGGTGTTTCCAACAAATAATACCCTACAATTCAAAATCTTGATTATATGCATGTATGCATGCAAGAGTGAAAATGCAGCGTCATGGTTGGCCAATATTTATTGATATTCTTTTTGTCAATTACTGTAAACTAGGGCTGACCCCGAAGAGTCAAAGATTTGATGCTTTGATGGACGGAGACTGATTTGACTGTCTATCTCACAGTCTAAGCTTCGCAGTGAAATAATTTTGTTGATATGGGGGTGCTCAACATCTGATTTTACATAGAACTACCAGTTTTCTTCCAAGTTAATATACAGCCTATTACAATACATTTCAATGTTTAATGCAGTAAATAAACATGTAAAAAGAAAAAAACGTTCAATAAATGTTTTTAAAGCGCATGAATAAATCACAGATTGTAATCCTAAACCTGGGCAACCTGCGCATGTGTAGGCGTAGCGTGTATGTAGTAGCAGAAGAGGAGCACATGCTGAAGAGAGTCTTCCCTGGTGTTGTGCCGAGTTGTCCGCAGTTGACTTTCGGTCAAAAATATGCGGAGCTGGCCCCGCTCACAATCGCCTCGCACAAAAACACACATGATTCGACTATCAGTCAACTATATGCAGGTTTCGACTATGTAAATCCTTACAGCCCTACTGTATCATCTCACAACACTTTTAGAAGTTCTTTCTTATGTAACCTAAATACTTAAATATCTGACATCATTCAGAGATGAGTAATCAAGCTACTGCACAGTTTTTCCAGCAAAATCTATTCCACCAACAAAGTACCACAAAATGCAGATATATTCATTTGTACACTGACCTCTTTGATGTTATGTGCTGCTGCTCCATTTCTTGTGTTCTTTGAAGTTGAAAATCCTACCAGGAAGAAAATGAAAAGCAAGCTACCATAAAGTTAATTAATTTCATCTCCTTTTATCAAATTCATACACCGTATCTACATAATCTACCTGTACTGTCCAGGTAAGTTGCTGTCTTGATTTAGTATTTTCCAGTGTGGTTTCTTATATCAGGACTTAACTGCCACTGTTTATTACCAGAAATGAGCAAAGATGAAAGCTAGAAAAGACATAAACTTCCAGACCAAAGAGGTTTAAATTCAAGTCACCACATTATGTCTGCTTTGGTTTTTTTAGTCATCACCTCCTCACAGGGTGGAGCTGTTTTAAATGTGGTTTTCTGTGTACAAAATGTGCGTGTTTCTTCTGCAAGCTGGTAATAACTCTTACGTTTATAGATTAGGATTAACATCAGCACAAACAGCAGCAGCAGCAGCAGGGCTACACAGACGATCACAGTAATGACGACCTAAGAGCCACCTGCAAGATCAACCAGACAACAAAATAAAAATCTACACTTGTTTAAAACACATTCAGTACACGTTATTACCATCCACAGTTGTCTATGTTGAGGAAGTGAAGAGGACATTTACAGAAATTGAATTTTAAAAATGTTTTTAAAACACTCCTACTAATCTGGCTGTTCTGCAGCAGAAAGTTTAAGACATTTAACGTGCTCTCTTACCTAAACTCTCAGCAGACACAGTAGTTGACTGAGGTGTAACAACAGGAGATGTGGATGATGTCGATGATAGTGTTGGTGATATACTGAAAAAAATAGACAGAAAATAAACTCTCAGAACAGACTTAAAGGTCAGATTCCACACAACAATATTTTTTTCTTTTCCTTTATGCAGGATTGGTTTGTTAATAGATCACAAATGTTAACATTTTTAAAATTTCCCTCTACTG